TTTTGCCCTTCGGCACCGGAATTTGTACGGCTAAACCATCTCAAGAGAAGAATATGCAATAAAGGACCTTCTTTGTGCTCATTGTCCTTTTGGCAACTACAGGCCTTCTACCATGTTTGGTTAGCCATAATTTGTTTCCAACTTTTCTTTCTGGTTCGAAATAGTGAACCCATGTTTCGTCACCAGTAACTATGTTTTCAAATTGTCTTTGATTGAAGTTTGGAAACATTTTTAGCAGTCGCTTAGCGGTTTGTATTCGAACCTTTTTTTGGTCATCTGTCAATATATGGGGTATCCATCTAGCAGAAATCTTTCGTACTTTCAAAATACGCTTCAAAATGAAATGCACCCGCGACAGCGATATGCCAACAACTTTGGCAATATCACGACTTGTGTACCTGCCATCACTTTCAATTACTTCCTTGACTTTTGAGTCATTTGTCTTGCCTGATACAGTCATAGGTCCACCCGATTTTGCTGCATCTTTGACGGACTCTGTGCCAGTTACGAACTGTCTCATAAGATACCTTATCAGACCCATAAACTTCCCCCAATTCAGTAAAAATATGCTTTACCGAATTACCGAGTTTTGTGCAAACTTTTATATAAGCTCTAATTTCTTCAATATTCTCAAACTGTTTCCCTTGACCATTTTTACAACAGTGGTCAACGACTGTCTCTATTCACACCTACTAATGTTATTGTGATTTAAATTCAAGACACGTGGTTAAGGTTGATCTATTCAAAGGTTATAGGGTAGAACCGGTTTTATAAATAAAATTGGCAGTAAACAGGATATTGCTATAGCCTGTTTCTTTTGAAAACATGTCCTGTAATAAAGTTTTCCAGACCTTTCTGAAAGACTTTCATGATTTTCAACAGAAAGGGGGTGACTAAAGGAGGGGGTGTTAAAATAACAATATGTCATACTTTTCGGCGAAAATAAGAGCTCAATAGTGACCGATTCGCTGGTAAAAAATGTGTTTTATCATCTACACTGATAAACCTTTGTTTGCCTTATATGGATAGTGTTATAAATGCGCACAGAGGATCTTACCACGAGCAACTGACCAATCGTTGGAATGAATAGCAACGTTTACGCCAAATACATGATTACATTTTACTTCGAACACGAGGTTGAGGTCAATCTATGATCATGTCTATGGAATACAAAGTAATAAAAAGATAAGAAACTATTAAAGATGTTACGGGCGTTTTTAATTTATTGTTTACTGGAAAAAATGTTTAATAAGATGTAGTTTGTGTCTAGACGAAACTTTGTTTACGTTCGTGATCACGTGTTTGGCCAGGGAATCCACCTGGCAATTGTATTCACCGATAGTACAACAAAGGAAATAATACAGACGCAAATCGCTTTTGCAGTATGACTTTCAGAGACCTAGACTTCCACCGTTTATTGAACAAATGAATTGTTTGTCATTATGAGCATGAACATAATATTTTTAAAATGCTTTTTTATTTACAAAAGATTTTCCTTTTTTTCAAGCGTAAAATTCCTGTAGTATTCGTAGTAACCCATAATGCAATACTCATTCAGCTGATTGGTCAGTTAAAGTAATGCGGGTGCCTCATTTGCTAATCTGACGCCAAAAAATATAGTCCCGGTTCCCATGCAAAAATATTTTTCAAAAAAGAAATTTTAATTCATGACTGCAGAAAATTGTATTATAGAGAATATTTATTAAATTTGAATGAATGTAAGAGAGATCGATTGATTGAAGTACATTTCTACAGACATTGTCAGCTGATTCTAGGGTGGTTAAAACTGAAACGCAACATAACTCTTCTGTTTACCATGTCTCCACGTGCTAGTCACTTCCTAGCCACATTTCCGTGAATAATTTACTCTATCTCGCTGAAGTCTCGCTAACTCTCGCCAGAGCCACCGCCAGAGCTACTCTGAACTCATCGGGTCTTATAATTTGCAGAACACCGATAAATAAAAGGTTCCGAACACATTAGTAGGGGTGTTTTGAAATGACGATTATTTTATAACCATGTGTAGTTGAAGGCTCGTGTTTATACTGTTGGCAAGGTATTGAATAGAGTTATCCAGGCGTATAAGTAATGGATATATGCTGAATACTGTTCTATATGTAAAATTATCAGACTGTTTGAGTCCCGTTAGGGCCGAAAACAGTCTGATAATTTTACATATAGAATTGTAGGAGGCATTTATCTTACTTAAAACATTGCCATTTAAATGTTCAAAAGTTACCTGGAGGAGTCCGATAACAACACAATTGGAGTTCAGGCATTGTTTTCTTGTGTAATAAGTAGATAAAAGAAAGGAGACAGTAAAAGCAGTGAGCAAACTCTGGCTTCCTGTCATTCATTCATTGGCAGTCGTTTAGCTAAGCAGGACAGTAGTCCAGTGGTCAAGGATTTTTTTTTTTATTTTGTGCAGAAATAGACATTGATAGTAATAAATTTTGGTGATATTATTACCATCACCATGGAAAGTAAAAAAGAAATACTTTAAATGCGGATTTTTATCCTGATGTTTTAGTTTATATAATGGAAATTCTAAGCTTATAATGTGTGGCCATTGGGGAGAGAATCTTATAAAATTAGGAGATTTGCAGACTTTTTTTAGAAATGGATTTAAATTCTCTTATTCAAAGTGCTGTATGAAAAACATTAATATGGAGGAAAGTTAACAAAAATTTCAAGGATTTGCTATTTCGAGGCAAGTTTATTTTCTTGCGATTGCTTTCCCTGAATTTATTTCCTAAAATTTTAATGTTTCTTGACATGTTCAATATTTATTTCATTCTTCTTTTTGCTTTTTAAATACCGTCCGATTTTGTTATCACTTCCCTCTGATAATATATTATCGGACTGGTAATTATTATTATCGGACGGCTACAGGTAAAATTTTAGACAGCAAGAACAAAGGCATGACGTCACAGCAATATTTTAAGTAATGGACGAAATCGTGCAAGGCGTTATCGCGCTGTGGTACAATACACAATACATATCGAAAAACCCTCGTATTTCTTCATTGTTTAGCTCTTTTGCAATATTATTATTAGCTTTTTTTGAAAATGTTTACTCTGTAATTATCTTTTAACGGGAATAAAAATCTAGAGCAATATAATATCAAAGTTAAGAACTTTCCAAGGAAATGATAGTGTTTTCTAGCGGAATTAATATTGAAATCTGTTCTGGAGTTTAGTTTATGTTTCCGATTTTTTTTATTTTGAAAACTTTTTAGTACGTAATTATTCGAAGAGATTTTGAGGTGTTTATCATCATAATTGGGTCTGAAATCACTAATCAAATGTTTGGGGGAAATTCAAATCCAAAACTTTCAAGGGATAGTTTATTTGAAAATTTAAAAAAAATCAATAATTAACATTAAAAAAACAAAATCAAATACGAGGGTCATTCAAAAAATACTTCATGTTCCTCATCGTCATATTATTATTACAAGACTATAGATCAACATATTTTCGTACATGTAAATAAAAACATTTAATTTGTCGATGTGTGAAGTTTCATTCCATTTGATTAAATTGAACTCATGCTAACCAACTTTTAAAGCAACACGTTTTGTTACCATGGAGCACGGTTAACCACCACTGTAACGTCAAAACAACGTTTAGAAAGTTTCTCAAAATTAGTCTGCTTTTAAATTTCATACACAGTTTTAATTGTAGCATCTTCTCTATTAATAAAAACATATCCATATAACTTAACACATAGTTTGCTAACAATTGTGCAAGTAGCTTGAACTAGATTGTCATTGTTTTCAAATTTCTTAGGCCTACCGCGGAACTGTATTATTTCCGCAGCAATGAAGCGCACATCACGTTTAATGACGTTCCTCACTCTTTTGACAAGATTTTCAACTAAAACCTGTTTCTTTGCAGAGCATAAATCGTCCGATATAAACTCGCTACTACTCAAAAATTGTATTTTCCATTTTATACAAATACACGGCTTATTTTTCATCTATTTCTTGGTTTATACAGATTTTTTTAGGTGTGTTAAAGATGTTTCCCGAATGGAAAACAAAATTTGATTGCTACTCGTTGCTCCGTTACGTCCTCCAACGTCATTTTTTTTTTGTAAGTCAAGTCCATATGTATTTAGAGACTGATAACTTTTACACGGAACGATATATTACACTACCTGATACAGCATCTGAAGTAATACAGCAATACTGAATTTAAACATGTAAATTTTATTTTGTTTCAGCTCCATTTATTCGAGTTATGGCTATAGATACTATAACGTGAAAATTAGAAAATTACTTAATTTTGACGTTGTTCCGTGACCCCATTTTTGCTATTCTAAATCCTTGATAATTTGTATAGATATGAAGATATATTCCGATATCTTAACTCAAATTATTTGAATTAGTTGTTAAGATATGTATACCAAATTTGGATTTAATATGACGTTAAATAACAAATTTACAAAAGTCTACGAACTTTTTGAATGACCCTCGTATAATTTATAACAATTTCCGAATTTGCCGGGAATTAAGTATAACAAGTGTTGACAAAAGCTGTTTATGGAAGGGTTGCAGAGCGATAACACTCGGTATAGATTGATTTATCAAACTACATATTTATACGATGAAGAGCGTTAGCTGAAATTTATTAACAACCCACTTTATTGGGATATTTATTTATTCTCTTATGAAAAAAAAGTTTAAATAATATATACTCATTATTGATTGAAAGGCAAAAACTGAAACGGGAATTAACTTAAGAGTAGAACATGCACATGTATAGAATACTACGATAAAATTCTAGACACGCCTCTGCACTTTGATAATGTTAGAAACACAGTATGACTTCCTTAATCGCGAGAGAGGACTTTTTAAATGTTAGAAAACCCGCTGACTATTTTTAAACTCTTGTGTATTTAAATCAATGACGCATACATGTATGAGTAAAATGTTTATTTCTGGATTCCTCATTTAGTAAAGATTGAAACGAAAATGAAAGTTGACATCAGGTAAGAAAATACCTCTTTTCGTCCATGTTTTAGGGGATTTATAGACGATTTAATAGGTATTTAGTATTGTTTTAAATGATGTTTTCTTATACGTTGGTAAAATTGTTCAACTTTTTTCTGAGTAACATATAAATTACATATCTAAAAATATTTACCAGGCTATGCTTGGGGTAGGTTTAATTTGGGTGTAATTTGACACAATAATGGAATAATTGGACTTCTATTTTTCGTTAACTTTTCTTGTATAAAATGTACACAAATTTCAACATCTTCATATCTTCAGAACGGCAGTTGAACGGGGATAGTAACTCTTTTAAAAATGATTTTATGAATCCCCAAGTTTCCATTTATATCCCATGTTGCATCTACCGTTTCGTTACATGTACATGTATATCTACTGAAAGAATTCAAATTCATCTAGATTTGTATACCTTAGACCACTTGATTTCAGTTGTGATGTACTATGAAAATAAAGTTAAAGAGATTCGAGTCGAGTGAGACTTAATATTCATAATTTATACTGGTAGAACTTTACATCAGTTCACAGCAGATGAGAAAGCATTGTAATAATAAGGTAATAACATTTTATTGATTAGAGGAACCATTAATTTTGCAGTTGAAAAGCTGCTCAAAAGAATATTGAATTCCTAGAAAGAAAATGGATAGTTTCAAGATTCTTCTAGTAATGATTTTTCAGACTGTTGGTAAGTTCATTTTTATTAACATTTTCACTAGCTATTTGCAAGACTTTTGTTTCGTTTGGCATGACAAACAAATAAAATATTTTTTTTAAAATATGATATGAATTCTTCAATTTCCATTTTTAGCTCACCTGAGCCGAAGGTTCAAGTGAGCTTTTCTGATCAAAATTTGTCCGTTGTCTGTCGTTGTCGTAGTCGTTGTCGTTGTCGTCGTCGTTGTCGTAAACTTTTCACATTTTCATCTTCTTCTCAAGAACCACTGGGCCAATTTCAACCAAGTATTCTTGGGTAAAGGGGATTTAAGTTTGTTCAGATGAAGGGCCACGCCCTTTTCAAAGGGGGGATAATTATGAATTAGAGAAAAATTAATGGCATTTTTAAAAAATCTTCTCAAGAACCACTGGGCCAGGAATCATCCTGAGGTAGTGTCGATTCAAGTTTGTTCAAATTATGACCCCTGGGGCTAGGGTGGGGCCACAATGGTCGACCCAAGTTTTACATAGGAATATATATAGGAAAAATCTTTAACAATCTTCTCCTCAAGAACCACTGGACCAGGAAAGATGAAACTCATGTGGAATCATCCACAGGTAGTGTCGATTCAAGTTTGTTCAAATCATGACCCCCGGGGGTAGGGTGAAGCCAAAATGGCCGAACCAAGTTTTACATATGAATATATAGGAAAAATCTTCAAAAATCTTCTTATCAAGAACCACTGTGCCAGAAAAGATAAAACTCATGTAAAATAATCCTCAGGTAGTGTAGACTCAAATTTGTTCAAATCATAACCCCCGGGGCTAGGGTGGGGCCAAAATGGCCGATCAAAGTTTTACATAGGAATATATAAAAACAAGTATATACTGACAAAACGTCAGAGATACTCAAGCTGTAGAAAGTCAGCTAGGAAGTATCATTAATTAATATCCTAAAATGGTATATAATGAGGGCTGTTGAGTTCAGTCTTCTGTTGAATAAAATACATGTTTCATATAGTGAATTTAATCAAAATAAATATGATTAATAGTATTACTTTTTAAGATGAATTTACGTTACACACTTTCAGGAATATTTTATAAAGGATAGTTGCCGTTTCTTAATTTAATGAAATATTTGTTTATGTAGACATTTAATATACTTCAAACTATATACATTTTTTTGGATTCTTTGCTTAATAACGTACATCACAACCATAGGCGTCGTAACCGGTGGGGGGGGGGGGCTTTTTTTTGCAAAGATAGACATCATAGGCATTGAAAATTGGGGTCTACGTGTTTTTGTTGGTTTACCCCTCCCCCCCACTTCCCCCACTTTCAGTTTGCTTCCGAAGCCTATGACAACATTTAATTTACATCAATCCAAATAGCTTGTTACAAGCCTGTAGAAAAGTTTTTTCAAGGGGGGAGGGGGGGGGGGCTGCAGGCTGCAAATAATCCACGTGACTACGGATTCATCCAGCTGTGCGGCATGTCCAATACGAAGCCATTAAACAGGTTCCATTACGAAACTAACGATAATACTATTTTTTACAAAAACAAACGTAATTTATCATTAATTTCTTTTGTGCTGTTATCTTATTGTCATTCAAAGTACACATCATTTGCAGGCAAGCGAGTTACAATATCAGTGGGGGGGGGGGGGCACAGCCATCAATTTTCTGGCCATGCATTGTAGAATTTGTTCAAGATGGGGTAAACTGCGTCACCTTTCTGAGTTACCAGTGGACTCGTCCAAGGATGCTTTGTCGGCGACCGAAACGTCGGCAACTGAAAGTTACATGAGATTCCTACGCAAAAGAAAGCGCGAAATCTCTGTATCTAGATACTGTTGCGACTGCGGGGCTTCACTCATTGTTCATTCGCAATAGTAAAGAATCCGACATTAAACACTTAATATCTATGAATATACAGACGTTTTCAAGATAAGCTTCATTTTTGTTTCTAGAAATATTTTTATCTACCAAAATAATACATTTTTGTGTTTTAAAACTGAGTAAATCGATGACCTAGCATCGTTTTAGATAACTCAAGCCCCTCTAGGGCTTGAGTAAAAATCTTACAAAATCTTCTTCTCAAGAAACACTGGGCCAGGAAAGATGAAACTCATGTGGAATCATCCTCAGGTAGTGTAGATTCAATTTTTTTCAAATCATGACCCCCGGGACTAGGGTGGGGCCAAAATGGCCAACCCAAGTTTTACATAGGGATATAAAGGGACACCTTTTAAAATCTTCTGATTAGTGATATTTATATGGAATCATCCTCTGGTAGTGTAGATTCTAGTTTGTTCAAATCATGAAGCCCTGGGGGGGGGGGTGTGTTAAAATTCAAGCCCCCCCCCCCACCTCAGTAAACCTTCAGTTCTGATCTGATATGTGCTTTTTCCTTGCCGATGTGCTCAGGTGAGCGCTGTGGCCCCTGGGCCTCTTGTTTGATTTATTCATTTAAACATAAATTTGTAACTTGAGGAAGATATTAAGCAAGAAAGTCCATTTGCAATTTTTATTCATCATCGTATCTAAATTCTTTTGCTCTGACAATTCCTTCCTTTTTATAAAAATGGGTATTTTAGTGTATATTTATGCAGGTGTTTTGTCAACATTAAATTGTCCTTTGAATGAAACTGAATGGAAGGTCAAGTCCAAAGCAAAGGTATGTCAAGGCTCCGATGTCTATCACTGTCTAGTCGTGGAGGACGGAAAAGCAAGGACAGAGAAATGCAAAGAAAAAACGTTAATAATGAATGGTAAAGAACGCTATCGTCTTATTTTTACTGTGACTATTTTGATCCATAAATTTAATAATTTAATCCTCTACATACGTTATATACACTGTACATGTAACGGAAAGGCTAAAGAAATAGTTTGTTTCTTTGCATTAACATTTTTTTCTAAATGAAATTGAGAAGCAACCACAGTCGTTTAGAATGATGCAATTTTTTTTTATCAATAAAACATATTGTCACCCCTTTCACAAAATGAGTATCGATTCTAGGTTATGGTGTTTAAAGAGGTCACAGGAAATCAGAAAAGTCACAAATCGTGTCAATTTCAGAATTTTCTAACTTTCATGCAAATTTTCATCGGTTTTATAGCACCTTTTCTTTGAAAAAACATAGCGCAGTTGTGTAAGTTTGTCTTTATACCAAATTCATACATTTCATGCACTAGCATCAAATGCATCTTGTCCCACTTCCACACCCTCTTGTGACCTCGATCTGATCCTTGATTCATCAGTGCTGGTTTTAAAACAGGCACCATTTAATTCTTAATACAATCTGTCCCAGTTTTAGATGTGTTTTGGTCTTTATATCAAACAGGGGGCCAGATTCTGCTAATACCATACCTTGTCCTTCAGACCTATCCTTGTCACTTATTGCCCATAAGCAGTTAGGGATCTTTTTATGCCAACACCTACTTCGACGCAGAATCTCGATTTATACGATCTCATATGAATGTTGGTCTTAATGTCCCGCGGTTGGATTCAAACCCGCATAATAAGAATCAACTCCTTACTTCGCCAATCTAGAGCAATCGCTCTTACCACTGTGCCACTCTGGTGATTTAAAAAAGACGTTAAAAGTGTTTAATGTAAATCCCAATGAGTTTCAAATTCCTAAAAACGGACTTGCAATTATGATTATTCTATCCTAAATAGTGTTAATGAATTTATTTAAAAAATAGACGGTCGCCTGAGGCTAAAACAGGTCTAAATTTACTCATTCTTTTTTTTTTTATTCAATCCTAACGAATTTTGCTTTTGAAATCATGAGAAGCACATAAGTTATTATCTCGATGATTTTCTGTTTCGAACAGAAAGGGTTAATTGGTTACAAACTGACAGGTATTTAAAAGACCCAATCCTTTGTAGATAAATGAAAGATATATATCTATATGGCAATTCGTGAAAATAGGAAATTTGAATATTTTCAGACATCTCAATAAATATAAGCAGCAAACGATATTCGCTGTTTGTTGTTCATTTATTAAGTAATTGTAAAATGCCTTCAAACATTGTCCAGGGTTTTGATTTTCTGTTTCTTACCTCCCTTGTATTTAAAGTAAATGAATTTCCTGAATATTTTAATTTGAAAAAAATATTTTCAAAAAAAAATGGCTGACAAAATGAAATATAACATTTGATTATGAATTTATTTTGATAGGGTACTGCCCAATCTTTACGTATGATGATTATATTCACTGGAAGATTTGTAATAAAACTGGCTGTCCCAACAAGCATTTCCCAAGTGACGAGGTGTACAAATGTGAGAATACATTGAAGATGTGTCTTTGTCTAATTTTGTATGATCATAAATATTCATTGATATGAAAATATGTTATAAAGAAATGAATTATGCTTTTTACGATATTTGTAACGGGCTTTATTTTTCATTTAGCAAAAAAATATTGAGTAATTATATATAGTGAAAGGTGTTCTTGCAAATTTACAGTTCCGGTTTGTTTTAACATTGAAAGTGAAGGAAAGGATTTTCTTGGGAGGTTAGAATCAAGGTACGTGTAATATTCATTGTCAAGTTAGGGAGCTGTCAAAATAAGTAGTATTCAAAGCAAAGGGACTACTGTATTAAAACGTGGACTGGATCATGCAGAGATGTTTTCAAGTCAGGACTTTTGTGGATAATGAGCATGAGACATCAACTTTTTATCATCGAAAAAAAGAAATTACTCAAAGAAAGAAATAATATTTATAAATATAATCCAAGAAACTTACTGCAAGTCTATCTAAATGGTAGATAATGCAGACTTGTGATTTAATATACTTATATCTATATGCATATATTTTAAATCAAAATGCGTTGTATATTTAAGGATACATAAAAATAACAATACATCCATTAAATACAAAATTTTTATGTTGCTTAGATATACAAGTTTTGATTTCCAAGTAACTCAGTACATTTTTGACATGATGAAAAAATCATATAAAATTCTCCAACTTTACATGGAAAATACATGTACCTGCAGAATATCATTGATGCTATGAAAGTTATATTTTACATAATATTATGACTTTACAAAGAACTGTTTACAATTTTTTTTCACTTTCAATTTCTCTACGTTTTAAGTCATTTAAATGACATTTTTATATAAATAGGCAGGACAATACTCTTCCCTTAAAAATTGGCATACCAGTCGGAATCATTGCAGCTTTGGTAGTAGCAGCCATCATAGTTATTGTAGTCATGAAGAAGAGGAGATATACCCCGACGTGTGAGTATTTTATATCATAAAACTACTTCCAAATTGTATCGGAATAAATTAGATCAAAATACAACTACAACTGTAGCCCTAGTATCAAAATCAACATTTTACATTGTATGCTCGCTAAAGATTTGCTTGAATTCAATTCAATGAATTTAAGGAAATAAACCATAAACATGCATTGCTATTCTTGATGAGCTCTTTGCATTTAATTCATGAAAATGTCAATTTACGGTTACAATCATTTCTTTTATTTTATAATTACCACAATCTTCTTTTTTTCATTTTTTAAAATAAAGAATACACTTTAAGATATTTTTTTCAGTTTATATTTTTAGAATTAATTGACATTACTCTTCGAAACAAATTGTTTTAAAAGTAACTTTTGAATTAATTTAGTTGATGATTGATTTCACAAAAAATATCTTAAGGTTATACGTGTTTTGAAAAATATGAAAAAAATGATTACATTTAATTGTAAACCGAAAATAAAAGAGAAAATTTGAGGGTTATGTTAATTCCTGTTTTTCTAATTTTATAAACAGGGTTATATTTTATAATAAAAAGAGAGTTTATCTATATTAAATTTAATTTCTCTTTCTCTAGATCTTTCTTGCCTTTGGAAGAAGGGCGAGACGGACGTAGAATTACCGATGCTACCTAGAAAACAAAAACGTGAGTATAAAATTAAACTGATATAAGATTTTTAATTTTTTTTTGTTAATTTCTTTTTATTCATTAAGGGGTGCGACTGGAATTTCCATTGCGCAATAATTTCACGCATCATTGTTAAATAAGGCGGATTTATTGTTTTAAAGACCTTTTTTCACCTCATTATACTAATTCAACAAAATTAAATAAATTACAGGTTGAAAAATTTTATTTCAATGTTATATAACTGATTATCAAAACGATTTTTCAGCTGATAGGTATGTAGACACCGTAATAATGTATTTGACGTTATAATAGCGTGATGTTCTTAATAAGGGGTAATAAAAATGTTATGAAAGAAAAATAACGCATAAATGCTCTTGAAATTTAAAACACAGAAATTTGAGAATCACTCCCTCATTTTTATTTATTTATTTATTTTTTTTTTTTTGGGGGGGGGGGGTGTATAAATCCTTTCCGTCATATTTCGTAGGACTCTATGAAAACAGGAAAATTCGTTTACTTTTGGCATTTTGAAATCCCCTCTCTGTAAACTAGACGATAGAAATTTGTGTTTATTACGTTTTATGAACAATTTACTATTGCTCATTATATTTCAATTGAAAATGCACAATATCTTTTTAGCTGAGTACTTAGCCATAAGCATTCGTCAGCTGAAATCAAAGAATACAGTTTATATCATTGGACAGCTTGGAAATTCTGTATCGACTGCAGGGAAATTAATAACCAAAAAATATGCAAAACGTCATAAAATGAAGGATAATTACTATAATTACCTAGATATTTCAGAAAGGTTTTCTGAAATTTGCGCTGAAGACGTTTTCAACAGAAAAACAGTGAATTTTATTGATGGATGGGGTGGATTGTGGAATGATAATCCATGTGAACAGCGAATAACTCTGGATACCCTAGAAAAAGTTGTAAAGCATGGCGAAGCTTGTGGAGATAAGAAGTTTGTAATTGGGCTTCGTACAAGCATAAGAGAAAAATTACAAGAACAATTAGATGGGATTGGTATTCGAATTGGAGAGAACGAAAGACAGTCCCTGGATTCTATCACCGAGTACAAGATAGAAGCTATTGAAGAAAAAATTAGAAGGCTTCAAAGCTCGTGTTCAGATAATGACTGTGGTTGTAAATCTTTAGACTATGAAACTGTTTCTGGAATCAATCAAGTACCTATAGGCGCATATCTGGTCGTTCAATTAATGAGTATAGATCACAGGATGATACAAGACTTTTTAGATGATAATGTAGGCCCACTGCAAGCAGTTCAGAGGCATTTTGAGGGGCTGATTGAGGGTGACCAGACATGGCCCTGGCTCCCGTATTTTGTTTGTATGGGTTATCATGACGAAACCGAATTTTGCCAAGATATAGCAGATGCATTTGGAATTTCAAAGTCCATGCTGGCAAATTGTGAAAATATAATTAAATACACAAAAACGGTCGAAAAACTTGCTCCCATGTGGTCGAATAGATTCAATCTAGTTAAGAGCTCATACAAAAGACCACAAAACGTGCTTGTCTTTTGGCATAATTTTCTCTATATTTGTGCTTTTCATGCATGCTACAAAAGGTACCCAAAAGAGATTATGCGATTTTGCAATCTTGATGCTATTCTTCAACTAGTTCGTCCTAAGAATCATACTGATCCTTTTACAATTCAGGCACATGATGAAGATATTGATTTCTTTTGCGAGGAGAGGTTGAAAAATCTTGCTGATGACAGTTTATGTTCGGAACATCCCTTAATTAAAGACTGTACGAATCGTAAAGAAAATTTATTGTAATGCAAAGAACATCTTTAATCATCTGATCCGAAGGTTGAGAGAACTACATTACTGTTAAGCCGACATGTGCTGTATGTGCAAGCTTGGAAATTGTCACTGTATATTTATTTAGGGCATCGCTTGGAATTTAAACCCCTAAATTAATCCATTGATGCATAATCAAAAAAGGGGGGACAGCTTTTGCTTATTAATATGCCAGAGAATGTGCAGAAGGATTAGAATATAGGATTAGAATATAATGCATTTTTTATTATAATATATCATAAATCATCTCTCAGAGGAAAAAGATGCAAACTCTCAAAATCGTATCAAAATAGACATTAAAATCCAGAGTAATACATGACCATACTTATAGAATTGAATTTTTTCCTTTTTTTTGTTGAAGTGGCAAATTTGTGCCACCTGTTGTGCTATGTTAGTTCGGTTTTTTATGGGCATATTCTTTAGTTCTGGGTTCCTGAAGATCATGAAAATATATCAGGAATTTAATATCGGGGATTTATGTAACCTAACTTAAAAGCCGGTCACAATACCTTTATTTTATCTCCGCCTAGTCAGTTTCAAATGTTTTTGATATCAGAGAGTTTACACATGTTATAAAAGATTGTGATAATAATTCGAATTTTGGTCACAGTTATTTATTTATTTTTTAATATTGTTATTTTCTATTTTTGTTGTATTTTTTTATATTATTTTTTATGTACTCGTAATTGAAGATTCGGGGAATATTGTTTATGCTCTGTCTGTCTGTCTGTCTGTTTAGCCGTTCAACTGTCTGTTTGTCCGCAAAAACATTAACCATACCTATAATTTTTGATTTGTAGGAGGTATGTTTTCATATATTACATATGTATTCCTTGTGAGAGGACTTTTCTTTGGATACCAACATATTTGACCTCTTGACCTTGACCAACTTTAACATTTAACTTTTGAACAGTTGGTGTTAGGGTTACTATGCTTCACATGTTTAGTTCATGTATGGCCTACTTATAAAGAAAAATTATGCTCAGTCATACGTTCTGAATCGTTGAATAAGGGCTTCGCAAAATTAAACGTGTATTTCTAGTGTCAAGACCCTCCGTTGGGCAACAACAATTTTAACTTTTAAATCTTGACCTTGATGTTTGACCTAGTTTTTAAAACTTTAACGTTGGTCATGAATCTTGTACGTGTGTATCTCTTGTAACAAAAATTTCCCTAAAATACTAACAAGTTTGACTTTTTGAAATTTACCTTTGAGGTTGGCCGACCTTTACAATCCTAAACCTTGATCATTACTTTTGAACAATTAGTGCTAGTGCTATTATATTTCACAATTGTATTAATATTTTTTTTTTTAATTAGGCCCTCCCTTAAGTAAAACTAAATTATCGTGTGCATCGCGTCTTTTCCCCCCTTGACCTTGCAATTTGGCGTCCTTTAGAAAACCTTTTTCTTTACCATAAATTTTGAAGGGTAGGTGCTTTGGTTTTCATATTTCGCAATTGTATTCCTTCTGACAAGACTTTTCCTGGGGTACCAATAGTTTTAATCTTGTAGTTTGACTTGCTTTTTAGAAACTTTATCCTTTGTCAATATCTACCATACGGGGACATTAGGGTTAGTAAAACACACCTTGTTAAACTGCATACGTTCAAACATGTTTTATAGATAAAACGCAGGTAAATTTCAGTGACAACTTGCTGTTAATATTTTTCAATTCATTTCCTTTTAGAATATCATAGATCGTATAAGGTAAAAACAAATCAAACCTTGTTACTTGGTGGATCTTGAGCTTTTGAATGGATTAAACAAAAATAATAATTCAAACCTTTGAATTTGCGGCTACAAATGTTGCAATTTCGGGAAGAAACAAACCTGTATTGTAGTAACTGTTGTACTTTTTTATTCTTATGAAAATGTGTTTTACATACATTTTAATTATACTCTGAACGAGCTTAAAGTATGTTTGACATTTGTTATCATGCATTTGCTTTTTAATGAGCAAATTCATAATGTGAAGATGAATATTCGTTCAATGTTAGTGACATGTGTTAGTCTATGTGCTACATACAACTCAACTGCAGATACTCAAATATTTTAGGCGGGAAGCAATGTTTTGCAACTTTCCTATTAATCATTTTTACATGTACATGTTGATGAACTGATCTACTTATGATTGTCTACATCTTTTTATTCATATTTACATGTTAAACGACGTTATATCAAGAATTGCAAAATACACGTATACATTGCTTTGCTGGCTACATTTTTGTCATGTTGAAAGGCATTTTAACCTTGCTTTGCATATTTGAAAAAAACCTGTGCCTGCCAGGTAATTTTTTTTTAGCTTTTCCACAGAAATTAATATATTAAAAGTATCATAATTGTGTTGTTTGTCTTTGTAAATTAGAAAATGTTTTCTTTATCATTATCACAACAGTAAAATATAATGCAATGTACACAGCTAAACATTCAATATAGGACGGATGGTATTCACTTAAGTTTGATTTTCAAGCTAAATTCTATACAGGGGTAGAAATTCTAAGTTTTTTTTTTTACCTCATTGCGTTCAGTGTTTTACAGTGGAACCGCACTCTGCCGGCATCCCTCAATGAACAGGTCTCGTATAAAACAATGACCTACTTCATTTTATCTTTTTTCCCTAGAAAAACTGAATACTGACAAACATGTTAAATAAGAAATATTTACTAAGTGTCCTTAAATATTTTTTTTCTTTGATTTTCGCAACTTCATTACAACATAAGATCCGCCCGCTATCGATCCTATAGTTAACAGTGCCCCTCCACTCAGTCCCGTGGCTCCCACAGACATTAACCACGCCCCCAAAGACCCTGCAGCCACTCCTGTACTTTTGAACCCCATCGCGTGCAACAAGGCAGGTGCACCGATCGCCGCTCCTACGCCCACTAAGAATCCGCCACCAAGAATCTTTCTGTATTTTTTCACTGGAAAAAAAGAAAGAAAAAAAGAAATTTTTGTTTTAAGTTTTTCTTGAATAAAATACAAAATATGTAATCTTTAATTTATCAGTTTATGATTTTGTAAAATGAACAATTATCATGTATTTTACATGTACAGTTAATGCCCTTTAACACATTATAACAACATGCACATATCACGTGATGAAACATCATCTTTTAAATTACTGAAAGTTCACTGATATACTTGGAAAGGTCACTGCATGAATGGCATAGATGTTACTCTTTCAGAGGACTGTCAGTGATTTTTCAGTCAAATTATTGGCAGAGTTTCATGCTGTGCATTTTCTTACTCTTATTTGGTTCAGCCTTCGTTGTAGGGGATTCTGTAGAACCGTTCTTAGTTCTGGCAGTCCCTTCACCTTTATCTGAATTATAACGAAGTGGTAATACATTCAGTAAAGTTAAATGTCTGTCGTTAAGTCGGCATTCTTTTAATAGTTTTCCTCCTACAGGATAACTGTAAGATGAAGAAAGAAATGACCATGTTAGGCATTTTGTAGGTCTTGAACACAAACCTCTCTCTCTCCCCCCCCTCTCTCTCTCTCTGATCTGTATATTCAGTGTAATAATAAAACATTAAAATAAGAGCACAACTTTATAATACTAGTATATGCATGGAAAATAAGTTTTTAAAGAGAATTGTTAAACACAGAATTATACGCCAATGATATTATGTACAGATGATAACATTCTTTGTAGTATTGTGAAATATTTCTTACACTTGTGTAGTAAGCGACCTCATTCCGTCATTGAGAGACACTTGTCTGTTATCTATTCCAACACCATTCATCAAACATCGCCCGATTCCGTCACCATTCGGCAAACCTCGACCGATTCCGTCACCATTCGGCAAACCTTGACTGACTCCGTCACCTTTATCTCATTATGAGGTACGAATTGACCGAGGTACAAGCAAACAAGTTTACATGGTCTTTTTATTTGTCGAACGCATGGCGCAGTGTAGCACTTGCTTATGATAAAACATGGCTCAATGATAAAATATTGTCGTTGATGAAATTTCAACCTGTAGTTGACAAATTATTTGACATGTAATCTTTTTCATCTTCATTTTGAAAATTAATAAAAGACAATAAAATAAAATAAAGAAAATTTGGGATTTAGAATAACTTTTTGATATTTCATACATCGAATGGTCATTACTGAATTTTACCTGTTTTGACTTAGTTGGCTCCAAGTGCAAACATTATCATGTTGGAATAATCTTGAAAATGTGCTGATTATAAGAGTTTGCGATCTCTTTTTGAATCTGGCTGTAATAAAGAAAATATGAGAATACAGAAAAATGAAAAAATTAATTAAGGAATTAATAATAAGAAGGCAGTTATATCTCTTGCCCAAAAAATGGGCAATAGAATTTAATTTAAAAACTTAGCTGCAAAGGCTGTATATTTTTTTTTTATTTTTAATTCATTTTTTTTTTAAGTTCAAATGTGCCCAAGAAATTTAAAGTGTCAATCTTCCTCCTGTAATAAAACAGTTGCTTCTATAAGTTTATTTCTGATGTATAGAATTTTATAACTCTGCAGTCTGCAGTCATTAGCCATGCCAAGAATCCTACGCAATCGTTTTCCACACTGATGGAGTCAACATAGTTAATTAAAGGAATTGATACATACTACCCATGATATATATATATATATATATATATATATATATATATATATATATATATATATATATATATATATATATATATATATATATATATATATATATATATATACATGTATTCCCTAAACGCTGGCAAGACAATTAACGACAGTAGATTTAAGAGGTTGGATCTTAAGTTTTCAGTTTTCTTACTCAAAGGAAACTAAACATCAACTTCTGCCAGGAAGTAGCCTCATATGCCCTGAAAAATAGTTCCTGTCAAAAACCTTTATTTAACGGTATTAACAAAAGCTTATTACGTAGAAGGCACCAGGCACAGCTAAGTACCAATGTTGTAAAAAAAGACAGGAAGGAAAATAATTCAAAAGAAGAAAAAATACCGGTATGTGTTAGTCTTGTTCCATGAGCCCTTGCACATGTTGCACGTCGTGAAGTGGAAAGGATCATGGGACAAGACTAAATTATGTACCGGTGTTGTAGAGTAGGATTTCCTCCATGGCCAGCTTTCCCCCCGGAAATTGTACTTTAGAGAAGGATCCCCCCCCAAGGGGATATCTCATACCAGAGCCAAATCCTCCTTTCTTTTTCGGAGCTGGACCCCCCCCCCCCCTTTCTGAAAGTATTGCATCATCAATTAATATAAATGTCCCTTACCGTGTAATCTAGCTAGAAATTGAATATTAACATGATTAATGCAATCATTCCTTAAATATTCATTGAAGTTGAACGAAATGGAAACTTGAAACTCACAAACCATAATAGCTCAATATCACATATTCATTCATGTGTTCAATACATCTGGCTGGTCACTAGCTGCAGATCTGTAGCGTTATGGTTTTATATATTTGTCTTTGACCATAACGCTACGGATCCTTTAATGCAAAAAAGGTGCAATTTACGGCGCAACATTTTTTGCGCACTTTTGGAGAGAATTTTTCCACTATCCAGCATCCGTCAATTAACTACCTATCAATTCCTAATTCTAGGCCAATCTGCATGTATATTTTATCCATCTTCCAACCCTTTATAGTCGTCTCTACAAGTGATAAACTCGCTTGATTAAAATTATTTGTTAGATTGCTGAAAATTTACCTCAAGTGAGTTTATTGCCTATAGAGACAACTATAAATGGTTGGGAGATGGATAAAATGTAGATTTTGGCTACAGAATACGTCTAGACTTAGGGAGTGAAAGGTAGTTAATTGACCAATGATAGAAAGTGGTGAGATTCTCCCCAAAAGTGCACAAAAAATATTGCGCCGTAAATTAATTGCACCTTTTTGGCATTACGGGATCTGTAGCGTTATGGTCAAGGACAAGTAAATAAAACTATAACGTTACAGATCTGCAGCTAGCTGGTCACCATATAGGACATTTGTTACAATGTACCGCCATTCTCCCCTTCAAATTATAATTACTGCAATTTTATTGGGGGAAAATTGGCTCTAGAGGAAATCGTACTCTATAACTACTATACATAGTAGGACCCCCCCCCCCCCTCCCCGGGAAAATTGACCCTGGTGTGGGATTTCCGTATGAGATATCCTGCTCTAGAGCCAGTTTTCCGTAGGGGCCATTTTTCCGGTGGAAAATCCTACTCTAGAGCCAGTTTTCCCGTGGGAAAGATTTTAGTCTACTACGATAATTAATTTAGCTTTCTGTATCTTTTACTTAACTTTTTCATCTTCGTATGATTTGAATAGACCCGCCCCCCCCCCCCCCCCCCCCCCCCCAAAAGGAGGGGGGCTTACAAAAGCGTCTGAATCAACATAATAAGTATCTTAGTTTTAATTAAAAAATCAGCAACACTTAAGATCCCTCCCTCAAAAATGCAGACATTAATTGCCTCGCACATATCACAAACGATGTAGGATTAACTGGTGTAGTGATTTGAAAGATAATTATTGTATAAGAATTTATCATATAACAAACCTTTGGGGCATTGAGATTTTAAGCATTCCCAAATTTTGAACTTGTGTTTACTAAAAAAAATTGCATGGGAAAATTATGTAGTTCTTGATATGCCTAGAAATATTATGGTGGTTTTAGCGCAATTTATATGTGGAATTTTACCACTACTATATACAGTGTAATTAGAGACTGGTAGATATCATGGTGAATCTGTTGAGGATCGAACTTGCACAGTTTGCTCTATTAATATAATGTTAAAGACGAAATTAATTTTTATTCCACTGCATGTTCTTTGTACTCTGAATACCGATCTAAACTTTTTGAAAACACTGGTTTTACAAGTAATCAAATGACATGGTTTTAGGTAGATGTACTACACTGTAATATCAGTCAAATTTCCCTCCACGGGTTGCAAAATATTTGTATTTCTCCTTCATGCGAAGAGAATCAGTTATTTTCAGAAAATAAGAAGGTTAATTTTAAAACGTGTTTTAATGTCATATTTGTCTATACCCAAATTAATTTTTGTTACACCAGACTCTATGTACGATAGCATACCGAATATACTTACAAAATTAATGCATATATATTTGTGTCTTAACATTAGGTTCATTAATTGTTTGTTTTGTTTTGTTTTGCCTTTCATGTATCTCTTAGTGTTGTACTCTTTATTATTTTCTTTATATATTGTATTTCCCCCCAAATTTGTGTTTTAAGTTTTAAGTAGCATAAATAGGCCCGATGGGCCGGGCGTTAATTGTTATATTTTATACTGTTTGTAAATATAAATCTATACATATAGGCCTACACATGTCACTATAAATAAATAAATTAATTAATTATTCTTTTTACTTACTCACATTTCCTTGGGGAAACATCAGAGATTAATTTAACGCTAATTCCGCTTAAAATTACTGAGTTTGAACCAAACTATTTAAAATGCCTATCTTCTTATCTTTTCTTAGCATGTTTTTCC